ACGAGGGATGACCGTCTGTGAATGGCTCAAGTCTGTATGTGGTGGGACTCCTTGGCATACACTATGGGAGCGAGCGTATCTATCAGCGGGGATTGGAACAAAACCCCGTAGACATGGCTAGCAAACCAATGAATGTCACAATAGTCCGTAGGTGCAGGTGCCAGATAGGATTGTCGGGAGCAAAACTCGATACCCATGGTCGGAGTCGCAATGAAAACATAGAGCATCGCATAGTTAATCGCATGGGGGCAGAAAAATAATTGGTACCTGGAGCCTGGGCAGACGACGCAGATGGTGTGGTTATTTGGCGTCTGATCTTGACATCTAACCTGCGTTTTTCACGATAACTTTGCCTCTTACAGATGTTCCTTGATACCTTTGTCAGCTTTATAACAGACAAAACCACTGATGATCGCAGGAAGATGGAACTGCACATCCTGTTACGTTCACTGTTGAAGTTCAACAAGGACAGTCTGTGAGCACACCTCATCGACAGGTCCGATTTGGAGAGAGGCAATTCTGCCACAGTTGGAGGAGTCATTTTTTGCGCAGCTTGACAATGCTGGGGATCAACTTCACTTGTGTGACCGCTTTCGCGTCCGATGGCACAAGATGCACGACCGCACTATAATGTATTATCTACGCTTGTTAAGTATACATCTTGGACTTTCTTAACCGAATTCCCCCCAGATGTTGCCTGGGAAACCTTCACAAAAAGTTTAACACACTAGTAGCGCATGCATCAGAACAGAAGTCCTTCCAATCAAAAAACAGTCATTTCTGAGGAACGGAACACGTAAATGTATGTCCCGGAGGGATTTGGCAAGGCTAGTTCACCAGGACTGCTCGAATGCTGAAACCTGGACTGCATACATGACACATAGTAACTTCTATGTGAAACTGATCCACGAAGACAAGGTCACGCATCAGCAGGACTTAATGAAGCGATTCTGCACGAACCGCAAACTTGTGTACAAGCACGTTAACGACCTTCGAAAGGTGAAGCGGGGATTCTATCACTAGTCACGGCTAATGGGCGCGCGTGACCAGCAATGGAAGCAACTGATCTCCTACGGCTTTATTACTCCCAAACTTTCTAGCATGTAACAAGCCCAAACATTTTCCTCGTTTCTATTACTCCAACGTCGGGTTTAGACAACATCACCTTCACTGCGGAAGCTGTGTTGAAGAAGTTGTTATCATTGCGTATCCACAGTTCTCCTGTAGTCGACAAAATCCGACCAAAGGCTCTACAGGCAGTAGCTAGGAATCTAGCAGAGCCACTGGCTGTTTCCTACCAGTGATGTCTAGAAGAGAACCATATTCTACCAGTATGGAAGCAAGAGGTCATCACTCCTATATATAAAGGAGGTAGCCTAACTGACCCTATCAACTACCGTCCAATAACACTACTTCCTGTACTATCCAAGGTGATGGAACCAATCATCGCAGATGCGCTTATGCAGTATCTGGAAAGCCACAACTTAATAGCCCCAGAGCAACATGGCTTTCGTCAAAAGCATTCGTGTAATACTAACCTATTAATTGCACGTAATAGCTGGACCGAAGCTGTTGGTGATGGAGCAGGAGTCGATGTCATTTACCTGGACTTTTAAAAAGCGTTTGATCTCTTAGACCATCGAATTCTTCTCCAGAAGCTTCGGAACTGCGGCACTGGCGACCCAAACCTGAGTAGGATTAACAATTTTCTACGCGAACGACGGCTAGCAGTGAGAGTCCGAGAATCATTGTCCGGTGTAATTGATGTGGTGTACCACAAGGTTAGGTGCTTGGACCTCGTCTATTCTTGGTGTTCGTTAACGATTTGGCTAGATCAGTTGCTTCCGATTTCCTATTTTTCGCGGATGATATCAAGGTATGACGAAGGATAAGAAGACCGGACGACCAAGAACGGCTCTAGTGCGATCTTAACACAGTGTCGAACTGGTCAGTTTAAAACGCCCTACCATTCAACTTAGACAAATGTCGCGTTGTATAATTACGCCATAGACATAACTACACCTATTTGCTTGGGACAAACTGACTGCAGACCAGCTCCCAGAAACGTGACCTTGGTGCAATCGTACAGAGCGACCTCAAATGTTCAAAACTAGCTGAGGTAGCTGCAAAAAGAGGCAACCAGCACGTCGACATGCTGCGAAGGGCATTCGGGAGATTTGACACATCAATCTTCCCAGTGATGCACAATTCCTACGTGCGCCCGCATGTTGAATATGTTATCCAAGTTTGGAAACTTTGGTTGAAGCGCAACCTAGAGGCGTTAGAGGCACCACAATGAACAGCAACAAAGAATGAAAAGGGCCTGCGCCATCACTCGTACCACCGAAGGCTGAGGTTACTGAGAATTTTCAGCGGACGCTATCGAAGGCTGCGCGGAGATCTCATATTAGCGTATCAGATATTGAGTGACCCCAACCATAACACAAAGTTCAGAGGTAACTGCTTAAAATTGAAGGAACAATATAGTCGTCTAGAGTGTCGACGGAATTCCTTTTCCCTTTGGGTTTGCCAACCCTGGAACGCACTTCCATACTCAGTTGTATCCTCCCCTACCATGGACATTTTCAAAAAAACGACTAGATGTTGCTCTTAGTTCCCAGGATTTTGTTACCTAAATTCCTTTATTGTGGATTACGCCAAGCATGCTTTTCTACAGGATTTATGTATCGAATGGACCAAAGTGAGCGACCATATTTTACTTTTCTCACGCCTTATATCAACGAGCATTGCACCCCAGTGTCTTCCTGAACGTTTACGCTTGATTTGGCTAAATTTTATATTGATGTTATTTATCAAACTATTCATCTCGGCAGACTTCCGGTAGATGACCCAGGTATATTTTGATTTCACCATATTCACCCCAACCATCCTACGGGACGTGTCAAACACTTGCTTTATCCCTGATAAATTATTGTTCATTGTGCACTGTACCGAGATGTCACTAAGTCAGCTTATGGGGATGTAGTCAACTTTAGATGTATAGCCCATTTCATCAAATGGATTGGAGAGACCATTCGCTAGTTCTCTGCGGAAGTCGACAGAGTCGTAGCAAAAATGAAAAGTGCCCTTTGTCCTTCCGGAAAAGGGTGTCTGCACTGAGTACCTAACTTAGGAAGGCATGGATTAACCGGAGCGGCCCACCTGCCCCGGCCATCACTCACTAAAACCCTGGACTGGAAGGTGCCACACACTACAGTAAGTATTTCTATCAATACCTACCTACGCTGCAAGCTGTACAGCATAAGTTTGGGGACTCTGCTGGTGTTTGTGAACTTGCGGAGCTACTAAACAACGAAGCAGCACAGAAAGCTTTGAACTGGTAACTGAGTTGCATTGCGAACGTAGGCTTCGGTAACCAATAAGACTTACAACGCCCTCTCCGATCTATTCATGTTGCTAAAAATTGTCCCCGAGGAAAAGTGGCTGCAATATTTGTAGATAGAGTGACTCACCTTAGATGTTGGCATCAAAATCCAACCTACAGATGCCAAGCACTTGTTGACATCAGAGGCTAGCTGGCAGTTTCTGAATGCCACATCCTACTTCACAAGCTACAATGCTGTGGAATCAAGGATCGGGGGTCAACAGATTTCTTCGCTAACGGAGGTTTCAAGTGCGTGTTAGGGAAATCAATTTTCAAGCCGATTGAAGTGGAATGCGGTGTTCGACATGGCTTGGTGCTGGGAGTGCACCAGTTCCTGATGTTCATCGACGACTTGGCAAGTTATCGCCTGTAACCTCCTGCTTTCGCTGATGCTAGGGCTAAAGATAGAAAGCAGTGAAGATAGCACTTTCCTCTAGATTTATCTTGATTGCTTTCATGAGTGCTTAACGATGATCCTACTTCGGTTTAACACAACTAAGTGCAAAGTGATTATTCTACGTCAGCAGCAACTGAGCGTGTATAAGCTCGGAGATCACGCCTTACAAAAGACCCTTCAGGAGTGCAATCTAGGGACCATGATTCAGGACGATTTCGGTTACTCGAAACAATCCAAGACGTCCAGAACCGGTAAGCAACGCTTTTGCCTTCTTCGCAGAGCGTTCGGTTAGTCTGACCCCTCAATTTTCCCGCCGATGCTTAATGCTTCTGTACGACGCAGGTGGAATACGGCATCCAAGCGTGACACTCGTGGAAGAAACAGAATCTCAATCATCGCAAGACACCTCAATGAAGTGCATCCAAGAACATTAGGAGCCTCTTCCATCTGTTCTACCAGCTTGGAGTGAAGTCCCGTGGAATGCAGAGCAGTTGATATCGGCACTTGCACGAGTAGCTTATAATGGTTTACCAGATACTGAGGGACCCAAACTAGATTTGCCACCAGCTGCTGGAACTGAACCAAAACACCAACCTGAGAGGTCAGCATTTAAAGCTGACAATGCATTATAGCCGGCTGGAATGACGTGCAAATTTATTCTCCTTATGAGTGTGTCAGCCGTAGAAGGCTCCCATAACTTATGCTTTCTCTGCCCCCAATATAACGGCAGTTGAAAACGGCTTGATGAAGCATTGCTTCCTTCGCATTTCATTTTATAACTTGTGTCAACAGGGGGCTACATAACGCAAACAATCTATGTGTTGTCAATATCCTCTCCAGGTATATATATATATATATATATATATATATATATATATATATATATATATATATATATATATATATATTATCAGTGAACATCTCGGCTCTTTTAAGCCCGTCACAATGCGAGCCCCATGGTAAGTTCACAAAAATGCTTAGATTTTATTATCATGTTCGCTATTCTAACTTCTCTCCACCTCGCGGGATTTGTTAAGCTTGACTCTTTTACCCGAAGTACATAAGCAGTGATGTGAACCAAGTTTCAGACTTGACGGTGAGCAAAAGACGAGCCTCTTCTAGGGTGCATTAAAATGATGAAAGGGAATGCGCTGGGGTGAATGGGGATGCAGGTTACGCAGTATGCTGGCTCCAGAGTTGTATCAAAAATGAACTCACCCCCGGAAGAATCCGCGGCTTTCTTTGGTGTAATATACCTCACAGATAACTCGAGTGTGGACTGTAAAAAATGACAGAGAATCAATAGGCTGATTGAATTCGAACAGACAAAACGACAATGAACTAAAAGTTTGCACTTTCACAAGTGTGTCATTTTCAAAGCGACAGTCCTTGTCCCAAGCATATGCTTACCGAGGCTTTCACACGAGTCTCAGTTAATTACAGTAACTCTCGAGGATCCTATCCAATGATCGGCACCGCATGCCGGTTTCCAGAGTCTTAACAACCCATTGTTTGAAACTGTGAGTTTTCGTGAACAGGGCACGTCTTCTTAGTTTGGAATAGATCCTTATCACTAAACGTTGATACTAGCATTTGCAGAACAGGTGCCAAAGTTCGAGTACCTAGGCTAAATTTCCAAGTTGATATGACAATTCACGATGAATGTATGACTACAGGAACTACTGAATCAGTTCGGTGTTCGAAAGATAAATCTACCTGTACGGAACCCAGGTGTTTCAGGTATTAGGATTACTTCACTTATCATCATAAACGGATCTACGAATCATGAAAATTATCAAGAACTTGACACACAAACGCTTGTCAAGCAGTTTATCAAAAACGGTTACACAATTCCCATAGTTACTAAGTGCGGCAAAAAAGGCGTTGTTTCGGGCGATTTTCACGTCCTCCATTCCACTATTGGCACAACGTTGAAGTTCGTTGCATATGGACCTGGGCTTCGGTTTTGCAAACTGCTCCGAGCAGCTGCACGGTTAATATACAGTCGAATGTGAGGTATGCAAGTCTAGAAAAACCCCAAGCTCTTTGAACCTGTTTTGAACCTAGACATCACAACGTATTCGCTTACTTTTGTAGTAAACAAGGACGTGTGAGATGGATAGCGATGCCCTCCTATACATCGTTATTTCCTGTGGTCGTGAACCCATCTAGCTCGGAAATATTGTGACTTAAGTTCGCTTTAGTACATGTGCATCCGGACAATGGCAATGCTAAGACAGTGGTCGAAAAACACATTTCCTAGCATTTTGTATTGAAGTCAGAATGTATCATTACTCCCCATGTTACGAATCACACATAAAAGACGAATCTGGAAGGAAAACGATACCTAGTTCATTGTGGGAAAGTGAGGTACTAATTCTACTGATTCATTGATACAACCCCAGGAAAGGTAAGGCGTCACCACCCTTACCTTACCACATATCATCTCATTGCAGTAACCAAACTCAGTGAAGTCATTGAAAATAACATTGCAACGTAATCCTATAAAACGCACGTGTGATATCTAGCAGTTGGCATCCCCGGAGATGTGTTCCGTTAAGTGTTGGAAGTAATTCACAGCACCAGAACCGGAAGACCGTCAGCTATAACTTCTAATGCAGCACAGCAAGGCGTGAATATTGCAAAGCATTAATTTTTGTCCTCATACAAAAGACAATAAAAACCTGGTAACTACTTCAACAGATAAGGCCGATGACGAGATCAGGTTCTCAGTGAGCTTCAAACACATTCAGACAGAATGATTGATATGCTTCTTTTCGATGAATTCGATGAAAATACTTCAGCCAGTATACTGTTCCAAAGAGTTACGTAGATAGATCTACCCACCAACTGCACTGCCTAAAGAGCTCTGTAAATTGTTATCACTTTGTCGGTAATAGGCCACTGTCCCTGTGTTACAGCAGCACTCCTTCAAAGCTCTAATTTAAACATTCCGACGGGAGTCCAAATAGGCTTGCTGCACTAGGCAGATGTGATTCCGTGAAACAAAGTTTACACATCTAAACTCTGTTTCTGATTCTTCTGGTTTGCAATCCGAAAGCTACACAATGTGTTATTTCTAGCTCTCATAGAACGGCTGGATTGCGTTTGAAAAAGTACACGCATGCTTTTGTGTATCGCGGTTGGAAAGGACTGTGAAAACTGTCATTCTTTTTTCTCCATCACCCCTTGACCCACGTTGCTGTGCGTACTAGTTCGTTCTTAATGACCAAGTTGCTGGTAGTGGGCAAAACACAGTACTAAAAATGATGTTTCTTTGCTGTCCACCCGTGAATACTGCAGCTATAAAATGTGAATGCATGAGATGTGGGCGTATCGACCTTTTGCATGCCAGAAGAAAAATGTTATTTAATTCAGCAACCGTCTCATATTCTTTCGTTTTGCAAAGTGAAAAGAAAACTAGTTTGCTGGCTATTTCTCATTGTGATTCCAGTGGGACCACAAACTGTTAGCTATTCGCCGATGCATGGTTAGCTACCAAGTTGGAGTACTCCTCGCGGAAGAGTGCAAGAGGCAAGCTAGTAATTGATCCAGTCGAGTTGTATCCACTGACTGCTAAGCAAACTTCCCATACGTTGTTGGTATCAGTATCTGAACAGAGGAGTAGAATAGCTACTAAGTCAGAGAGCAGATAAGTGGTTTACGATTCGAATCTTGCCTAAAGATTCAAAGCAAGAGCAAGAGTGATCGCGGAATGTAAGGTCGCGAACGATAAACCCCAAAAAATGCCGATACACTTGGCTTAACATCTCTCTTAATGAGATAAATTCTTTTGAGTTGATGATTTGTTAACCCAACCTCAGAGCGCGTTGGATGCCAATGCTTTGAATTACATTATTATGCTGACACTAAGTGACAAAGAGGCAAAGTGGAATTCGGGAACCGAAAGAAAGAAAACGGGGGTCGAACAACCTAAGTCACAATGGTAGGAATGGAGTAGAAGGTCAGTAGTGCGGATCCAGATGCAAGAGCTACACCGGTTTCACGGCATTGTGAAGTTGGATGACGTCTCCAACTACTGATGCGATCGGCCTCAATGACTCAATCCAGGGAGGCTGTACGCGCCAGCCCGACAAAACCTTTCACTTAATTCTCTCATGCCTTCTGCTACGCCATTTACTAGCAAGCCCAGAGTTTCATCCAGATGAATATAGCGAAGCGCAAATCATGCACATTGAGATTGGTAGTTAACAGGCGCGTGAGGGCCATTGTCTGTCAAGATAAGCGATAACCGCACAGCAGTTGTGGGTATGTTGCCATACAGAGGTTGGCAAAATTCAGTTTTACTCTCTTGGTGCCCTCAACCGATGTGAGAGAATAGTGGTCACTTTTCCCATCCACGCAGTGGCATCAGCTTAACCGCAGCGTTGTACACCCTACTCTTGACTTACAGGTTGATATACCACTATCACCATAGGGGATAGAGACTGCAAAGCCGCATGGACTTGACCAATTCGTGTACTAACTGTCTAAGTAACATGATCATTGGAAGTGACATGGAGAGCGTTCACCAATGCACATTCGGGAAACTCACCGGATGCGGAAAATACCCCCGCCAATAAAGCTGGGCGCTTGACGTATTCTACCAGACGCTACTGTAGAACTGACAGTATTGAGATGATGTACAGGATAGTTTTGATAGGTAAATTATACTATTGCCCTCCACATGAGTGCTTGAGACGCATAAAATCTGCATGACCCTTACCAAAACGTGTGGTAGGCACGCTGCTCATTGGATGACCAGAGGTGATGAATTTACTCGGAAAACGGAACCGACGAGTTACTTCCAGAGGCGGCGCGACAGCCATGCATAGTAAACGAATTGTGTATTTCGAATAAAGGAGGTAGATATTGCCTCGTTTACAGTTTTGAATAAACACCAACTTAGACACATTCAAACCTAGGGAAGTAGATCGGTGTACACCGAGTTTGTCACACAATACAACACGTATGAAACGCGATGATCCAGCAAGTGAGCACATGACATGCGCTCACAGCTGGCCTTCCTGCAACCATGATCAGATCACAGGGTCAACTGATGTTGAGAGATTTGCAAGTTGCAGTAGGTAGGTGAAGCCATTGGCGCGAGCGACACAGCTGCCCTTCACCGTCGCCGTGCTTGCTTATTCTCTACTCATTACCACTAGCAGCAGCAGCAGCAGCAGCAGCAGCAGCAGCAGCAGCAGCAGCAGCAGCAGCAGCAGCAGCAGCAGCAGCAGCAGCAGCAGCAGCAGCAGCAGCAGCAGCAGCAGCAGCAGCAGCAGCAGCAGCAGCAGCAGCAGCAGCAGCAGCAGCAGCAGCAGCAGCAGCAGCAGCAGCAGCAGCAGCAGCAGCAGCAGCAGCAGCAGCAGCAGCAGCGGCGGCGGCGGCGGCGGCGGCAGCAGCAGCAGCAGCACATCAGGACGTTGAGTCTGTACTTTGCCGCCATTCAACCGTTAATTAATAAAATGGACCTTAGCAATGGGAAGTAATAAGAGAGAAGCAAATGAACTTGATGAAAATCAGACGGTCTGAGCAGACGTTGGAGATCTAGGTGCCTAAAGGCTGTCGACACCGCACGGTCACAAACGGTCAGATATAGTGTGAAGTTAAGGGAGCATCAGGAGGTTTCAGTTGCCAGTCCCACAAGCAACCACACCCACGTCTAACACTCAGCACCATGTACATTTAAAACAAAAAGCCGGGGTAAGCTATGACAGCAAATCCATCACTGGTGCTGCTTGCGTACGTGTCCTATAATACCGGAAGCCAACTGCAGTTGTTCGCATTAAATCCAAACTAGAGGATAAAAAGAAACCAACAGCACCAGCCATTAGAGCTCAAGTTTCGCATTGTCCAGCAAACGGTTGCTCTCTCTAGGTATATACTTTAAAACATCCGGTGAAAATTTGAGGGTAATTTGTCATATGAACGAATCCCAATTGGGAAGGACGATCACGGACTGATTTAACGTATGAAGACGATTATCTAAATAAGTCAGCTGCAAGAAGACCACTGAAGACTACTCCAGCCCTCCCACAAGGTGGTCAATTTTCTCTGCTTCACTAGTTGAGGTTAGCACCACTTACCTTATGGAGGTTACTTCCGAATGCTCGCCTTTTATGCGTATATGAGCTTTTTGGATAATTGGGTGCCAACTATAGCTATCAGTGACACTTGGGTAGCCTAAATAAAATAGCCCTGCTTTCGGTCTCGTTGTCGGTCGGTTGAGCGCCCAAACAGAATCATTACTCCGTATATCATGAACAGTAGTAGGGA